GGAAGCAAGCAAGACATATAAAGAATAGATGGCGAATAGAAGAGTCCCCAAAAGAAACAAACTGTTGCTTTATTCTGTTTTATGATCTTCCTCTTCCTCTTTAGAATTCCAAGCTCTCTTCCCCAGGCAACAAAATTAACAGTACTTGATTTCTTTGGCTCAATGTGTACCTTTATGCTTTGTTTTACTTTAAGATGGAGCTCTAATTCCCCTCTCTCTCTCTCTCTCTCTCTCTCTCTCGTTTGGTTTATTTGTTTTTTTAAGTAAAAATCACATGCAAGTAGGAACTGTGGAAAGCATAAATTCCTCACTTTATTATCACAACAGGCTGACATGGTGTTTGGGGGAAGGATGACTGGTCATGGTCCAAATGACACAATAATACCTTGGGAAAAAAATTTGTGTTCATTCTTTGCTTTTTTAATCTTTTAATTAAAGTGAAAGAGATAAAATGACTTGTTGCTTTCTATTCTTCTCATAAGATTTGAGACTTCCTTTTGAGGGTTTTTGTTTATGCCTTGTACCTAGCAAGGCTCATACCTCAATAGAATATTCTTTCATTCTCTCTTTGAATAGCTGTTCATTTGCATCCTTTTGCCTTAAACGTGCCAGACATTTACTTGGACATTCCAATCTTCTTGCTTAGGTTTGTTTGTTATTATTTGCATGGGATTTGCCTGACATTCCAATCTTCTGAAACTCACATCATTTGAGGTAGAGAAAGAGAAAGAGAGAGATTCATACTAATTGTCATATGAGACGCCTTGTATTTTCCTTCCTTTGTTTATTTAAATCTCATGTGAAGTCACTTTAAAGAGTGGGATTCATTCAAAGAGCATTTTTTGTCAGAAAAAAAAAAGAATAGATAGAGACCCTTTTTAAACTCATGATATCAGAGAAGCTAGGGCCTTAAAAATCTGTATTTAGGAAGAATCAACGCTATCGCTTCTACCTTCTTTGTATGTACATGTTACTGAAACTTTTTAAAATTACAGTTGTAAACTTCAAATACTTCCATATCATCAAGAAGATTATTAAGTTATGATTTTGATAATAATTTTACAAAACAAAACTCAGAACTTTGATTTCAAAGAAGGAAATTTAAGTCTTTTTACTTGTTAATTCCCTTGTCATTTTCAAGAGTTCAATACTTTTGCAGATCCCAAAGTTTCATAGTGGCTGGCTTCAGTTGTTGGAGGTGGGGTATGTTAATCCTTTCAAAATGTTTTAGGTTCAATCAAGTCACTTGGCCTAATTAGGAAATAGAAAAGAAATCTATACCGTGGGACCTTAAATGCACAGGGGATATGTGGTACGGCATGTACTTTCTTAATATTAATGTACTTGTCTCTTACGTTTGTTTTTCTGATTAAAAAAGAGAGTAATGTGACTGTTAAATGTTAATGGCGGAACCCACTTGCTGTGATTAAATTTTGAATAGTAATACAGGGGAAAAAAAAAGAAACAAAGGTAAAAGTTTTGCAAATCATGGCTTTCTTCATTATGGAGACTGGTCTTAAAGTACTGAGCCCTTTGTAAATTTGTTGCGAACCAAACAAGCCATAGCTGAGCTTAACGGTCCTGATGGAGACAATGATCCTGATGACTCAGTTTATATAATGCCACCAGGGGTTTGGATCCTCTCAGAATCCTTCTTTCTCCTTTCTTCTCAGAATCTCATCTCTACTATTGGATCCAATAATAGATGGTTCAGATTTAAATTTTAAAAAACAGATGTCCACCTTCTCTCTCCTATTTAGTAAGGTTATAATAATAGTTTTATAAAGTATGAAATCTGAACCATTCATTATTTGATCCAATGGTAGATATGAGATTCTGAGAAGAAAAGGAGAAAGAAGGATTCTGAGCAGCCACCAGAGGGGGAAAAAGGCAAAAAAAAAAAGAAAGAAAGAAAGAAAGAAAGAAAAGAAGAGAGAGAAAGAAGAATAGTAAAAGCAACTTGAAGAACATAAAGCTTAAAAAAAAAAAAAGTTCTTATTGTTAATCAATCTGCAGTCTTTTTTAAATCCATGAAATACTGGAAATACGACCTAGTAAGTTAGCTGAGTAGATATTTTTTTGCCATCATAGTTAGAGTAGAATTTGAACCAAGATCCAACTTCATTAAATATGACCATATTTTTTATATTTTTAATATTACTATAAATAAGATCATTTCAAACTTGGCCGCACTCTAGACGTAAAATTATATTCAGTTGGTGTGTATAAAGATTAACTTAATGCATAAATATAACATTTAAAATGCTTTTTATTGATGTGTATGGAGAGGGTCTCGACTCTCGTGGTTCAACATTAAAACCCTTTTAAAAAATTTATGGTATGAAAGGATTAATTACTATTATCACTGTTATCGGCAATAGATACCTGAGCTTAATGAAAAAAAAAAAACTCCATATAAACAAATATAGGAGCGTAATAATATATAGAAAAAAGAATGAGATCAAAGTTTGATGGGATTCACATGTCAAGCCAGAGCTGTGTATTTCTTTTTCTTTCTCTCCTTACCTATACTAGAGGTTCATTGAAGAAACTGAATCCGTTTCTTTGTTCCTTTTGTCCCAAGGAAACAAATTTTTAGTACTTGATATATAAGATTCTTTAATAAAATATAACATCTGAATTTTGTATCCTACACGTAAAATGATGAAATAACATAAATCCAGTAGAGGCCGTTATTGAAAAAAGAGTAAGATTTTGTGTTTATAAGGAGTTTTATCTCAACTTATATGAAAATGTTTATAAGCAGATCGAAAAGAGTCATAGATCGTGGAATATTACTCTTATCCTACCATATTTTTGTACTTAAGCTAGACCTAGGTAACAAAGGAGAAAGTTACACAATCTGTTTCTCTTCCTTTTTTAATTCATTTGAGCGTATTTTGATCTTTAGCTTCCCTAACTTCTCAATGTCTTGTGATTTTGTTAAGTGTAAGCTTCACAATAAGCACCTAAATTGTTCTTTAACTGTTTCTCAATCATGATTATTACTGTGCTTTATTGATAGTTTACAATTATATTTGAATATTCTTCATTACCTTTTAAATCATTTTTTTCAAAAAAAAAAAAAAAAAGATAACGGCAAGTTGTCATAGTAGGAGTTGTACTCATCACATGTGGACGAGATTTCAACTCAAGCTTGACGTGCGTGTGTTTAAATTGTATTAAATAAAAAAATCATTTAAAAAAAATAGTGTGTTGGGTCTTACATTAACATACCTATTCAAATGAAACTTACTAAATAGATTGTATATACAATTATATCTTTTTCCTAGGGACAACAAATGATAAAAAGAGCAGAAAGAATACAAAGACCTCAAATTTAGATTTTTTTTTGGTTGTTTTTTTTTTTCCTTTTTGGGGTGGGGGTGGGGGTTGGGGGACCAATGTTATGTATAAAAATAAAACTGAGAGGTCACTATATATTCTTTACAAAGGAAAGACAAAAGTTGAAGCTACAAAGAGAATGTCACCAAAACATAAGGTAAAGTGGGATGCTTCATTGCTCTCTCTCCCTCTTTCTGGTTTTTAAAAATGAACAACATGGCATCATAATCATTCCTAAACTATCTCATCAGAATATATTCCTATCTGCTTTCTTCAAACCCCCCCCCAGGGGAGCTCCCTGTGTTATTAATCCCTTATCAGTAGCTGCATTACAGGATCTTCATCAACTGCATTCAATTAAAATGTAATTAAATGTCACACTGTTGAGGTTTCTAAGAGGGTCATGTAATGTAAATCTTTGTCCAGAAAATGTTGACTGTAACATAATCAGCCATATGCCCATATCATGACATTGCTTTGCTGTTCAGCTTGGACATGCTTTAGAAACTTTGATTAGTGAATTTCTACATGGTTGGTTTATATACTGTCTCCCTACTCTTCCATGTCTTTATTGTGTCTTTTATAGTCTCTAATCTGATAGGCGAAATAATGGGTGACTTGGGGAAGTTAACTACAATTGTGATTTTTTTTTTTTAAAAGAAGCATAAGAAATTTAGTGCATCTTATTTGACTTTTATAATTCTGAAGATGCTTAGTATTATTTCTGGTCCTAATTATAAGATTTTATTTGTAAATTATAAATGAGGTCTTATAATTAGAACCGGATGTAGCAATTTTTTATTTGGTTTAAAATTCAAATATACCCCCATCCCGAGGAATGCGAATTAGGCATGATACGTAACTTTTTGATACTTTCCAATCGAGAAATGGCAGATTCTCGAAGAAGTCCTACGTTTTCGTATTTCTACATCCGTTACTATTGTGACCCAATTGAGTAAGAAAGATACATGACAAATGAGACAATCTTTTAACCAACGGTGCTAAATTTAACAGAAAGATTAGTTCCTTATAACATCACAATGACTCAAAATCTCTGTTGAGAAATATACTTATATTTAACAACGGTTGAATAGGACTAGGAAAAAAAAATCGTGACCAAATTGCAAGAGGCCAGCTGCTTGATCCATCCAACAGACAAAATACTAAATCTAGGAGAACGAATCGTGGGCTTCGTAGAACAGCCCGAACGGAATAGACGCTACTCATATACCAGTATAAAGTCGATTATTCGTACAAATCCGAAAGCTTTTGGAATATTCGTGGGAAGTGACCATACACCACATATCTCGAGAGCAGTACAAGGTAGCAGATGCTTTAGCGAAGGAAGGGCTTGCACGTTCATCAGTACTGGACTCTTGCCCGGTGAGGTTGCAGGATTTGCTTTTCAAAGAGTGCATGGGATTTTGATTCCCCAGAGTTTTAAATTTAATTGTTGGGCCTAGCCCTCTCTTGCATCAAAAAAATATAAAGTTGATTATTTTTTCTGCAACTTTTTTTAATTATTTTTTCTTCTCAAATATTTACATTTCAACAAGGGGTTCAAACCCCACCTTCCATCCAGTGCAATGGATCAGGGTTGTTCTAGTTGAATTAACCAAAACAGAAATAACACCAGCAAACCAAAAAAAAAAAAGTGAATCTGAAATGGCGACAACTTTATTCTATTTTTCTCAGCAAGTATGATGACTGGGAGGAATCAGAGGAATAAATAATCAATCAGATAGAGATAAGTTTGGAGCCATCCAATCTAAGGTATGTACAGGTACATCAGAGCTGAGAAATGAAGAGTATCGCATTTCAAAAATGGCACATACATAAACCACGGATTCATAACAAACAACCTACACATGCTCCGGTTGTGAATCCAGTGTGGGTCCTGCTGGTGCGATCGCAAATTGCAGACCCCTCCGCTGTCCAGATTGCAATACAAAAGCAACTTGGGTTGCTGCCAGTGCTGCCGCTTCCTGCTTCGCAAAAACATGAAATGTTAACAATTGAGAGAACCATAAGATTAACATTTGCCAAGAAATAGCATCATCACTGAGAATAGGTCAGATGTGAAACTGAGACTCACTTGTCTTTGTCGCCGACGTTGCAAAATACTGATTGCCCAAGCCATGATGTAGCAAGGTAAAAGAAATCCAGCTGCTCTAAGCAAGAAAAGCTGCAGGAATTGGTGAGCTAGTTAGATTGATTGGACCGGCCATGCTACTTGGAATCTGTTCGGCTGCAGCATTATTGAAACTATAAGCCAGAAGAAACTCAAATGACTCACGGAGAAAAAAGTAGATGGATCATCATCAGCATCAGAATCTGTAACTGAAAGTGCATGCCGCAAAAGTAATAGAGCCATCAGCTGCACCAAACGGAATAGATTATGCTTAGAACCACATTCAACAGCCAGCATGCTGACATAAAAAAATGTGCATAATTAATACCAAGTGACCAAATAAGTGGTGCAAACGGTCATATCTTCGCCCAAAGCTCAATGCAATTACTAACAAAAACCCCCAATAAATATAAAATGCTAACGTTCATAAATGTTGAGTGTCTGTCAACATGCATACATAACTGATTATTTAGAAAAGAATTCAAGTTTAATAACTTACAATTAGAGCAGCAGAGCGACAAAAAGCTGCTCCACTAGCATTAGAAGCAGCATACTCATCATATTCAGCTTCCAAGAATTGGCGTTCTGCCTCAGCAATTGCCAACAGTCGAGGATCACGCAAGTCCAAAGGTGTCCCAGAGATTGTCCAGCCCCCACTGTTAAAACAGCCAAATATCAACTATTTCACAAGAGTTCCAAGCAAACATCTTTACGTCATACCAGTCTATATAACTTGCAAAAGAGAATAATCGACACATAAAATTAAATAATCAATCAAATGCTACACATTTAATGTAGAAACTTCAACTTACCCTATGTCAATGGTAGTTTCATCAGGCTGGGGACGAGGTGGTGGGGCAGTATAACCCGGTTGATACGGCTGACAATTGCAAACAGATTAAAAAATATATATATATCAAAGCTAAGCAGGACTTCAAATAATTGCAAAATTTTGTCCAAGCAAAAAGGCACATCCAGTTGGGCTATAAACAAAAAAAGGAGCATTAAAATCAAATCAGAGGATCCCTAGTTAACTAGAAAGCCATTCCATAATCCAAAAGGTGAAAAGGATAAGGAAGCTGGAACATCTCATCTTGATCACTTTGGTTTCCCATTCCCCTTGTTTTATTTTCCTTCTAGGACATTTCATCGGATGTTCAATAAAGTTTTACAAATAAGCACAAATACCATACTCTACCATCATCACAACATTCCATGAATGACATGATTTTGAAATTTAAAGAACAAAATGTTAAAAGCAAACATACCTGATGACATATCTCACAAATTATATCTCCCTTTTCATTGCACCAATGTTGAACGCACTTTCTGTGAGCAAACTGTATGAGAAATTCCAATAATTACTCACTTCATTTCAACTAAAAAGAAACTAAAAAAATTCAACCAGTTTACTAACAGCATAGAAACAATAATGAACACGAAATAGAGATGTACAAACTGAACGCCAATACTACTTGCTACTTCACACTAGCGTTTCTCACACTTCCTTCATATAGATTTTTTTTTTTTAAAAAAAACAATGGTCCATTCTTGTTTTGCATTCTCAGCATCAAAATGGAGATTGGTATTAATCATTATAATGCACATACCATCTCGTTCAATTTCAACACAGGGAACGATTCATTAAGCTTGACAGAATATTTTTTCCCCCGCAAAACATTATAATGAAACCTGTTCTAAATGCCAAATTATATGTCTTAAGTCGGTGATAATGCAAAGGGAAGAGCTAGCCCGGTAGAATGTTTCACAACATGATCATGACGGCATGTAAAACACCAAAAGCATACTAACAAACTTATAAACCTTCTATCAGAGCAAATAGTGTAGTGGAGAAATAATTATAATCAGTAATGATTCTGAGAGGCTAAATGGCAGAAATTAAATAAAAATTAGACCGCCTTGGTTTGTACTTTTAAAGAGCATCCCCTGTTTACTTTCTCGGGAGAAAAATTTAACAGAAATGAGGCATAAGGGTTTAGTCTTTCCCATGAATTTCGAAAGTCAGCCTCCCTCTTACATTAATCGATCGTTTCCGGCAAAACTCCGATACAAAATCAGACATAATTTCACTCGGGAAAAAAAAAAAAAAAGCAGACATCAATATCGGTAAATTGATTGTCTTTGAAATCACACTATTCAAAGACATACCTGATAACGAGAGTGAAACTCGCACAATACACCAGAAATTCAACGAATATAGAGAAAAGGAGGGGCAGATATACCTTTAGGCTGCCGCTACATGCACAAGGAGTGTCCAAATTCTTAACGCTATCCTCCTCTTGACAAATGCGACACTCAGCTATCTGGATCAGCGGCTTGTCCTCATTACAATCCTCATCATGTTCAGACCTTGCATCATCATCAACCGCTGGGGAAGAACCAGAAGGTCCAGCCGCATCTACAGGCGGAGCCGGCTCAGACGGGACCTCAGCCGGATGCGAGACCGGGTCAGCGGCAGGGGGCCGCACAAGACGGTCAACATACAAAACCAGATGATCGCTCATTGATGCTTAATGTATAGGAAGAAGAATCAAAGTTAAAAATACAGAATCCTAATTAACCCTAACGCAACAAAATCAAAACCCAAACAATATCCCAAATGGAAACCCCTGAAATGATCAGGGGGACAAAGGATCGTAAAATTCCCGGGAAAATTGAGGGAATCCGATAGGAGATCTCACCGGAAAAATGGTTATTATAGACACAAATGCGCGCAGCTAGCGAGGCTTCGATCGCACAAAAAGGGGAAAGACTCGAAGACAATCGCTGTATGCCTCACCGATTTCCTCGCCGATAATTTTTATTTTAATTTTTCTTTGGTTCTCTTGCCCTAAAACCGATGAGAGAATAAGACAGAAATATTAGGCTGTCCTTATGACGATGCGCGGCATCGGCTTCGTGGAATTAGAAGGCCGATAAAGGACATTTTGGTCATTCCACACGTGATTGACGCGTGGGCGACCCATTCTTCTGATCGGGTCGGGCCCACATATCCGGACAAATTTCTCGGAAGATAATAGACGTTCAGACAACGGCCAGCAAGTCAAGCAACCCTTGTGGGTGGATTATTTATTTTTTTACATGATTGATTGCACTATTGTTTTTATGAAAATATTATATTGACTTTGAATTAAATGAGGAGGATATTCTGTTAGTTACCGGTTTTTTTTTTCAAGAGAGGTAGGTTCTCGGTACTGCGCCGGGGAAGGAAGATGGATTGACCTACCATTGAATTAGGATTGCGGAGAAAATTATATTATATGAGCATACTTCTTCTATTTTATAAATATGATTTGATCTATTTTTTCTTTTATTTAACATTTTTTTGAATGAATTATTTACTATTTTCTCATACTCTTTACATTAATTTCACAATTTTTCTCATCCTCTTTCTTTCATATTTAATACCCCTCCTTAAAAGGATTTTTTTGTTTTTGATAAAAGCTCCTTAAAAAGGATTTATGTTGTAGGAAAAATGATACTATTTCCTCGTAAGAATAAAACGCAACCAATTTAATCAGTTTTTTTAATCCCTATATAATCAATCAGACTTTATATTTAAGACCTGAGGAAGATTTGTTTTTTGCTGGTGATTATGTAAGAGTTATTTAATTAATTTAAATAAATTAAAAAAATTAAACAATAAACTATTTAACTGTGATTTGACTTTCCTAAACTATCTCTATATATAAAATCAGATTATATATGAGTTTATAAATTTGATAAATTAGTTTAGGTGAAATCATAAATATAAAAAAAAAGGTAGATTAAAATTTTATACTCAAGATCAAAATTAATTTCTTAACTAACTTCTACATTTAGTATTTGATGAGTAGTGCATTTAATTAACATTTTAAATAAAGGACAAAAGGGTATGTTTGGGATGATAAAAAAGGGAGAATTATAATGAACCCAAGGAAGAAAAATAATTACAAAATAAGTTTCAAAAGTTATTATTTTCTAATATGAAACTTGTCATTACAAACTATTTAGGTTATTATTAAGACTTTTTAGTAATTATGTTTTTTTTCAACAGTTGTTTTTTTTTTTGCCTGATTTTTTAGCAATTGATTGTAATTCTCCCATAAAAAAATGAGGAGGGGGATGTGCAAAGTCGTAAATAGATTGTGAGTCCACATTGGGGACTAACTAATAATAATAAATTCAAATTAAAGGGGGTCATTAGGACGCCTCTAGACTATTCCTGGAAGTAGTATGCCTCAAGCTTTCTGATGTTATGTTTGGAAGCACGTGAGGGGAATTAGCAAGTTGTTTCCCCACTTGTTTTTATTCAAGTGGGTGGCTACAAATTTAGGGACCAAGTCTTGTTTGGAAAGATGGCGGAGTTATCAACCAAACATTGGCAAGGGTAAAGGAAATATCCCAACCACCCCTGCTTTTTCTCAAAAGAAATATTAGCTTTGATCCTAATTATAAAATCTTATTTATAATTTATAAATAAAATTTTATAATTAGAACTGAAAATAGTATTAATTTGCTTGGATTATTCCTCCTCCCCACCAAGATTACGCATGTGGGATGAAGACTCATAAGTAGCAGCTATATATAGAAGTTTTAAAATAACATTTTTAAATGGCTTAATTTAGATAAAACTTACGAGGATCATTTTGAAATTAGTTTCTTTTCCTTTTTGTGAAAATATTTAATTGTCCTAATAAAATTAGTTGTTATTATAACTAATTAGCTATTAGTTGAAATAGTAAGTAGTATCAGTAAAAATCTAAAAACCAATTTTTTTTAGAATTTTTGAGCTCAGAATTATCCAATGTGGTTTAAAATGGTTTCAAATGAACTCTAAGTCGCCTAGTAGTAAGATATAATATTTTTCGTATCAGAATGGATGAAAAAAAATACAAATTTAAATTCCGAAAAGTATATTTATTAGGTTGTGTTTAATCCTAATATTCTCAACAAGATTAACTCCGATAGAAAATACATGTGGTGGAGCGAGGTTCTTTGACTGAGCTGCAAGGAATCTACTCTGGTAAACCAAAACTTCTGAAGATACTTTACAGATAACGTTGTAGTACGATTTCCTTTAATTTGTACGCACTCGAGTTAAAAAGGAAAAGCCTGAACCTCTGCCCAAATTAAATAAATAAACAAGTGACCTGGACAAATCTTTTTTTTTTTTGTTTGTTTTTTTTAAAAACATGATCTGCACATCTCTTTACCTCACAAACAATCAATACTGATGTTTCAATCATGTGAAGCGGTAGTAAAGTGAAACTTTCGGTTTAACTCCCCCCCCCCCCAAAAATTTTAGTGGTGTTTCATGGGCTAAATCGGGGCCCAATAAAATACTCAAGCTGGGCCGTCTCAAGTAATGGGCCAAGTTTGGCCAGTAATCAAATAACAAATAAATTATATTTAAAAAATAATGTTAGTATGAAAATAATTTTTTATGAAAGTCATAAATTTAATTATTACATAAGATATATCAAGGAAAGTAATTCTATTGAATTAATCAATGTTAGGTCTATTTATTTTTATTTTTTTGCGAAAAAAAGTAAAACACAAACAGATTACTATACATAAAGAGATAATAAAAAGTTGGATTAGTATATAGTTTGATTGAATTTCGTTTTTATCCATGTAGTTTCAAATAGTTGGTTTTGGCCAAAATCTCTTGAACTTAATGGCATACCATGCCTCCCACTTTGTGGAGGTCCAACGTTCAATTCTGGGTGAGTGATGACTTGACATGTCTGTTGGGGAGCCCTTCCTTGGGGGAAGGTAATGTGTGTGTGCCATTAAAAAAGTTAGTTTTTACTCTTATAGTTTCATGATTTTTTTTTGTCTAGGTTTAATAAGTGATCTTTTACTTTTAACGATTTTTGATTTTATTCCCCGTACTTAAACTCAGACCAATTCGTTATAAAACTATAAAGTTCAAAGCCAATAATTTAAAACTATAAGGACCAAAATCAAAATAAGATGAAACTGTAAGGACCAACAACAATATTAATCCTAAAACATAATTTGAAAAATAAAAAAGATTTCTGGGGGCAAATTCACTTTGTTTGGATGTGGGGCTGAAGTTTAACGAGTATTGATCAGACTTGCTAACCAAAATTAGGCTGATTAGTGAAAGTGAATGAAGCCTCAAGGTCAGTGGTACCTAATGCCAGTGTTTGAGCTAAAAAAGAGAATCTGAGTCGCACATGTTGACAAACACGTCTCTACATCAATGGGTTGACTTAATCCAACTCATATTATGCACTAAACCTAGTCATGATTTGAATTTGAATATTTATTATGTATAAATTATGTTTAATTTTTTAATTAAAGAAGTTTAACAAAAATATCAACTGATATTTTATGGTCTATTTCCTACACTTTTAGGTCTGGTATCTACCAAATGTTTGGCATCTCATAATTGTGTTTTTATTGAGAGGAAGAGATGATGTTTTATGCTTACTAGTTGAGAAGCAAGCCTTTGGGGCATAACATCATGTCTCATCCTTTTTGGACCAATTAGTGATAATTTCTTTCACAAGTGTTTGTCTAAATTTAATTTTCTTTCAGACTAAATATAATGATCTCTTTAAAAATTAAAATTTACCAACCATTCATTTTTATACCTAATTTTTTCCGGTGTTGGGTACCTTACGTCTCACTCCCTGCACAACAAGACTATTTTTTATGAGCAATTATTTAGTCTAAAAGAAAACCAGATTAAACATAATTATTTAGTGATTAATATAATGATGAGCAATTAGAATACCATGGGCCAAACAAGGGAGATAATTTCTAGGAGGGAACCTTTGTTCTTTTCTTATTGACTAGAATCTGGCATTTAGGGTTTAGTTACAGACAGTAGAAACTTTTTTCAGGTTATAAGATTTGCAATTCAATATCAAATTTCATTTTCTTTTTTTTGTTTGTTCTTTTTTTCAAAATGTGATATCCAATGTACATCAATATGTCCATATATTTAGAAAAAAAGAAGGCAATATGATTGGAGAGGAACGAAATTGAAGAATCTGATTCATTGAAAATGGATATCTTCACAATAGAGAAAGGTCATTAAAAAGACTTTGATATTGATGATGAGCTTCAACCACCAAAGAGATTGGCCACATGTTAATTATTAATTGATTAGATCTGTTAATAATATATTTGAATCCAATTTGGTTGTCTCTTCCAAATATTTTAATCTGGGTATTAAAGCCATTGTAAGGGAATCTGTAATATAATTAACCCTTAAAAGAAACACAGAAGGAAGCATCAAGATGGTGGCTCTATGGAGTAAGTAGAAGATACAAACAAAACATAGTATCATAACCAGCCATAATCTTCCAACAAAAAGAATAATGCTAGATTCATTAATTTCTCATTAGAGTTAACACTTTTGGATATGGAACGGGGAAAGAAAGATCAAGGTTTTGAGATAAATATGAAACAAAACATGAAATATAACTTTTGGTTCTTAATATAAGAGCTCGTTTAACTTTTATTTTGATCTTAAATATAAGATTTCAACACACTTTATCTTTTATATTTATCTATTTTTTTAAGGTAGTCCTTGTAGTAATAATAGTCATAATAAATATACTTAATTAGCAAATATATATATTTTAAAAAAAATCTATTTATTACAAATAACTAACATATCTAATTTTTTTTTCAATTTATTTAAATTAGTCAACTAGCTCTTATATTAAGGCTATGAGATTATAAAATTATATACAGCTCCCATGAATTTTATGTTACATATAGTCCTTGAGTTTTGAAACTTTGTAATTAATGCCCTAACACGCTCACATTTATACATGTAACTGCGTTACTAGTAGTTTTGTTTATTATATTTATCTTCACGCGCACACATATAAATATATATATATATATATAAAAGTTTAGGAGCCTTATATGCATATAATTCAAAACTTGATGGAGTTATACACATTAAAATATAGTTGTAGGGGATATATAAATGATAGCTATGATTTACCAAAGTTTAAGTATGTTCATTATTAATTTATTGAGAAAATTATTTGTACATAGTTTAGAGTTCAAGAAAATTTTGTGTAATTTAACCATATAAATATACTACTATCTTCGATTTAAAATATAAGCTAAATTTTATCTCTTTACGTTTATCAAGAAATTAGTTAAAATTAGTTTAAAATAATAAATATATAAGGTATGTATTTTTTTTCCAATATGCTCTTATTAATAAAGATAATAAGTAAAAGATGCAATAAATGAATCAAAGAGAAAAAAAATATAGGATAAAATTAAAAAAAACTCATTAAATATTTAGACAAAAGTGAATGTTATTTTATATAAAAAAAACTCCTCTAACAAAGTTTAGCTTATATTTTAAACC